AGGGAGAAGCAGGCTCCCCGCTGAGCAGGGAGCCCGATGCGGGGCTCGATCCCAGGACCCTGGGACCATGACCTGAGCCGAAGGCAGACGCTCAACAACTGAGCCCCCCAGGCGCCCCTACCTGGTGGCTCTTGAAAAGCTTGCAGCAGTATGTGCTCTCATCGATGTGTTGTATATGAAATCTGAGCAGATCAAGATGGAGATTTATTCACTTTTTTTTTTAGCCGTTCATAAACATTTCCAGGATTTTCCAAATCTTTTTGAGTTATTTTCACCAATCTGACTATAGTCTAAAACTTTGCAAATTAACAGTTTTTTTGACTAAGATTAGACATTGCCAGAACTGTGTCATTTTCTCAGTGTATCAGATTCCAAATAGAAAAGCCTTTAACATAAAGGAAAATTATCCAGAAGTGGTTCTTGGAAAATTTTGAAACCTGTGCAATTCTTTTGTTCCTTTTCCCTCCTGCTCTTGTAATCAGATCAGTGCATCCCTCCCTAATGCATTAATTGTCAGGAAGTGGTATCAGACTCACCTGCTGGGAGTTTAAAACACTAAGAAGCTTCCTGAAGGTTTTGGTACTTGATTCTGTGCCCTCTTGAGAATAAGAACTATGGTAGACTCTTACTGTATGTGTGGGAGACAGGCAAATGATTAAACTAGAAAATGAGAATCGTAGTTGATACTGTGATTTATATATACTGTGGACTAAGGGGAAAATATATAAATGGATAATTCAATTAGCCATTTTATGTCTATATCACTTAAATGTGGGCCAGATATATGTTTTGGTTATTCTGAAATTTTCTCTGGTTCTTTTAAAATGGAGTTTCTAGATTATGAATGCCTTGAGGGTAGAGGTTTGAATTATCAGCACCTGATCTCTTGTAACACAATAACATTTGTGAATGAAAAATAAGTGATTGATTTATATGGGACAAAGTATATTAGGATAAGATCATTACCTTTTCTCCATTATAAATTTGAAGATAAAATACAAAGTACTATCTTTTGTTATTATGATACAAGATCTGACATAAACTGAATGAGCCTTTTGCATTTGATATTTTTGTTACAGATATAAAATATTTATAATATAAAATTTTTTCCTTTTTTTTTTTGCTCTGGGTCAATATTACCAAACTTAAAATTTCCATTTTTGTCTCACGTCATTTTGTAAGTTTTAAAACAATATAAACTTTTAACTCTTCTTACATTTTTACCCTTTTCTCCCCCCTTAGGAACAAATGAATCGCATGTCCTACAATGAGAAATCAGATATCTGGTCACTAGGTTGTTTGCTGTATGAATTGTGTGCATTAATGTAAGTATGATGAAGACAGATTTCTGGTCTGAAGTTTACAGTCACAGAGGCTTGTCACCTTTCACTGGGTTCAGCTTTTTGAGCGTCCATATGTATTCAAGTCTGAAAGACTCATACCTTGGGTTAAAATTAAGATAGATGGGCAGGTTAAAAAATTATTTGCAAATTAGAACCAGCCCTGAGGCTGGTTCACACTTTTAACCTGGCTAGATGCATCCCTTGCTAGACTAATGCTTAGCTCAAGGGGAGAGCACATAGGTCAGGCCTATGGAAATGAAACAGAAATCTAGGGGAGAGGTCTGGGGGTCTGGAGAACAAGAAAGAGCTCCCATTCTTTTCCTTTTTTTTTTTCCCTTCTAAACTATAGAGCAGTGTTCTCAGCCAGGGAGTGGGGAAACAGTTTTGCCCTCCATGGGACATTTGATAATGTCTGGAGACATTTTTGGATGTCACAGCTAGGGACAGCTACTGGCATCTCATGAATAGAGGCCAGCAATACTGCAAAACATAGTAGGATGCATAGGACAGCCCCCCTAACAAACATATGACCCTAGATGTCTAATGCCAAGGTTGGGCAACTTAGCTGAGGAGGACAATCCCAGAAGAAGCATATATACAAATTGGAGCTTAAACTGTGCTTTTGATTTGGTTCCTATTCCGTATTTTCATTTTTACATTAAAAACATTTCTCCCCCAGGCCTCCATTTACAGCTTTCAACCAGAAAGAACTAGCTGGGAAGATTAGAGAAGGCAAATTCAGGCGAATTCCCTATCGTTACTCTGATGAATTGAATGACATTATTACAAGGATGTTAAATTTAAAGGTAAAGAGTATAAGATTATATTGTCTGTTTCTATCTCTCAATTACATTGTGGAGTAGTATAGTTTCTCTCTTGGAGCATGGAGACTGAAGAAGCATTAGCTGTATTTCCTTAACTAAATCTACTCTGTTAACGCGAGTGAAAACATGTAAATTTGGCAAATTGTGCCTCCTTGCTGGCCTACCTTCTGTGCTCTCTTTATGTCTCCTCCCCCTCTCTGCCCTGCTAACAGATGGTAGCAAAGCAAGATTGCAGAAAAGCTCCAAATCCTCAGTTCCCTTGTCTACCTCAGTGTGGCAGGTGGCAAGGGAAGGGGCCACAAATGACTTCATTACCCTGTTTCTCTCTCCAAATGAGAGATTAGAGACCAGAGATGGGGTTGGGGAGGGCTGGCTAGAAAGAATCGAGGGGAAATAAAGAGATTAGGTGGAAAAAATCTGGCCATGGGATGGGGAGGGAGATGTCCTAGGGTCAGGTTGATGTAAAGCAGGAGTTCAATGCTGTGGAATTACAAAGAAGGATAATGGTGACCTAACAGGACTGAAGGTCAGTGAGAGGATCTCACTTAAAGTAGTAGTAGAGATGCAAGGGCGGGGCGTGCCTTAGAGCAGACCTAACAGTGCCACCAAGCAGCAGCTCAGGAATTGAACTTTTTTTAGAAAGGCTAAGGGGGAACAAAGGTAAGCTCACATCTGCATTACCTTGTGGACCCAGAACCTCATGGGTTAATAAAGCCCCCAGTGAACTTAACCTTACCAGGTGTTTTAAGACCCATCCATAAAGGAGTCCTTCCTTTCGTCTTGGAAATGTATGCCGTTTTTCATGGACCTGCTCTTTTAGGATGAGTATCGTGTTATGAAATCTGACTATAACACTGAACATTTTTTCCCCCAGGATTACCACCGACCTTCTGTTGAAGAAATTCTTGAGAATCCTTTGATAGCAGACTTGGTTGCAGAAGAGCAAAGAAGAAATCCCGAGAGAAGAGGGCGTCGATCAGAACCAGAGAAGTTGCAGGACTCCAGCCCTGTCTTGGGAGAGCTGAAACTAAAGGAACTGCAGCTACAGGAGCGAGAGCGAGCCCTCAAAGCTCGAGAAGAAAGGCTGGAGCGTAAGTCCAAATGGGGGCAGAGCTCCAGAGAGCTCTGGAGGGTTCTTTTGATGTGTGTGAACTGTTTGAAAGGAGTATTTGACACGTGTGTGTTCTACTAGAACATTCTTCCAAATACTTGAGAAACCAAAGTACGTCTTGTAAAATAGTAAATGAAGCGTGCTGGCACCTTCCTGCTGAGACTCCTTTTCTGAGCTCGGTCGCTCTGACCATTGGTTGCTGACGGAGATGACCCTAACGCAGTAGCCGTTACACGTTCCTGCGGAGCTACTTTTTCTTTCCCTTCCTTCATAGGTTTATACCCTAATTTTTTTCCCCATTGTAAAAGAGGGTTTTCGCATTTGCTGCCCTCCGTAATAAAAGCCATCACTTTCAATTTCTGCTGTGACTGATCCAGCACAGTCCAGGTGTAAAATCCTGTCGCGTGGGGGACTTGATACATTCGGGCAACTCAGTAGAGCGCAAGGTGTTCTGGGTCCGTAAAACATTCTGATGAGGATTAACTGATCAGGTGCTAATGAGTTCTTGATGTTGAAAGTCGTCTACTCGCCTCAAGTACGAGCCGCTACCCAGGTTTTCGCCCGATGCAGCGTAGTAACAGCCGTGAGGCTTCTTGTCAACATTAAGGGACGAGGGAGGGAATTACGACCGTCTCCTGCCACCCTCGCGGGTCACCGGATTTTGCTTCTGCAGCTTCATGCCCAGTGCAGACTATAGATACGTTTCTGTTTAAATGAACTTACAAGCATCCAACGCATTCGTCTGTTTTTACTTCCTGATGACGGTCGTTCCTCATGACGGTCATATAATGCCTTGAGATACGCTTTCTGCGGAAGTATAACCTGTGCTTACCCAGAAACCTTTTCTTGATGCTTCTGTCAAAAGATTTTGTAAAACAAACAATCCTTTTATTAAAACTTTCCCCAGTGTTCTGTAGTTTCTTACAGCAACTGAAATCTGAACTTTCTGAATTCTGGGCCATGGATTAAAAAATGGCCTTTGTTGCTAATCTAAAGAAGTACCTTCTAACTGAGTTGTGGTTTTTTTCTCTTCACCCAGAAGAAGAAGGAGGGTTTGTTCTGTGCGGTCCGGTAATGCCCAGAAAACGGACCGTTGCCCATTCTCAGTAGAGAGCAGAGATGACTTTAGTTGTTTATTTTCCCAAATGAGTTCCTCTCAGACAACATGACCAAAGGTTGATACTAACTTCGTGTTTGAGCTTAAACCGGTCCTTATGAGAAAGCCTAAGACAGCACGCGCCACACACTGAAGTGCTGAATTAAAACCTAGCACAACAGGTTGCCCGGGGTTTCTGGTAAGAAAACTTACCCAGCGCCAGTGAGGTGCGCTGGTCTTAGTGATGAGAAGCGGCGCGATGACCAATTGTGAACTGTCTTCTACCCACAGCCTCTGCTTAACATCGTTCTTGTCCCCTTGCCTTTTTAAAGAGAAGGAACGGGAGCTTTGTGTTCGGGAGAGACTGGCAGAGGACAAGCTGGCTAGGGCAGAAAGTCTGTTGAAGAATTACAGCCTCCTGAAGGAGCAGAAGTTCCTGTGTCTGGCGAGCGGTCCAGGTATGAGAATCGGCTCCGCCAACAGAAGCCCCACAGAGGAAGGAAGGACACCAGTATTGGTGCCGTGGGGCTTTGGTAGCCCTTTTAATTGATGAAATTTCCCATTTTAAGTTGGAGTTCATTGACTACACACATTTCAATGGAAATAATGATTCTGTGATAGCAGTGATTTACTTCATGGGTTCATAGACTTGAGGCAATGAGTCGTCATGATTTCGTCTTCAATTTTATTTACCTCATCAAACTGCGTGTTTTTTGATACTTGTTTTTAAAAGTTAGGACATTCTTAAAAATATTGTGCATTTCAGATTTTTCTCTCGGTATGTTATCAAAACTCGACATTTCTCTCCATTTTGAAGCAGAAATCCCAGCATTTTACTCCTGCCACGTGAGCAGATCATACGTGCCACCTTCTTTACAGAAAGTATGGCTTATGAGGGGTGATAAACCGACCGTAGAATAAGCCATCACTTTTGGATCTTTGCTAAGACCCCTTCACATTGAAACGTGTGTTTGTCGAAATTCGGTTGGTTGGTATCTCCGTGCGCTGTTTGTGTTCCTCGCGCTCCTCCGTGTCGTGTGCAGACAGGGCCCTGCCTCTGTGGGCCCTGTGCCCCCGCTGTGCTCTGAGAGTCGCAGCTGGGGTGCACGGGCCTTCTCCAGTCCACAGATACTCTCCATCCAGCTTAATCTACTCTTGAAGATGATAGAAAATGCACAGCGCTAAACCTCTTTTCTCTAAATTTCTTTTATGACACAAATTATTATTATTATTATTTTTTTAAAGATTTTATTTATTTGACAGAGAGAGACACAGCGAGAGAGGGAACACAAGCAGGGGGAGTGGG